TTTTGGCCCCCCCCCCCCCTTTCCCTCTGTATTGTAACTACTTTCCCATCATCTGCCCTGCAGGCAGCAGAATCGCAGAACAAGGAGCTGGAGGGGAGACTCGAGGGACTTCAGATGGACATCAACGACAGTCGGCAGAAACAAGGAAACATGAAGGGCGAGCTGAAGAAGTTCATGGATATTCTGGATGGAAAGCTGGATGAGCTGCACGAGTTCAGACAAGGACTCTCCAAACTCGGTGTTGATAACTGAGAGGAAGTGAGGCAGAGCTGAGAGGTCGGGCATGAAGGATTCACTAAAAATGTCTCTTCAGGGCAGAAACTATGCTGCACCTACATCCCCCAAAGTGATGTCTTCTCTGAATCTATCAGCTTTGGCTTGTAATAAACACAACCTTGTGTGCGTGTGTGAGAGAGGGAGAGAGTTGTTGGCAGACTTGAAACAAAACAAAAAAAAGTAAAAAGAAGGCAAGCAAGTCCCACAAAATGGCTCCATTTTGTGTACTGGCTTTGTGAAACTACAGAGTCGCACTTTGAGCTTACTCATCTGCTTCTGTGGGGGAGAAAAGCGGCTTTAAAAACCTGGTGGTGGGTTCTTAGATTCTGTCCATCCGTCTCTTTTCTGAAGGCTGTAAAACTTCTACACGAGCCTGGTGAGCTTAAAGTAGAAGTGGGGACTTAAAAGGGCTAAAATGAACAAAAAAAAAAGCATTATTAAAGTAATAATTAGTGGAAATACCCGTTTCTCCCCCCGACCCCTTCAGATTTAACGTTCAAGTCCCTCTACAGACTGTCCTTGCTGCTGCCTCTTATGTATCTCAGGTGTGTTAGAAGACAGTTTGTATATATTAAATTATATGCAGATATATAATAAATGGCCGTGACACAAAGTGCCTCCAGGTAAGTTTAATTCTCCCTGGAAAGGAAAACAGGCCAACTAATGACCATCACCATAATGACAACTTATCTCCATTAAATAACCTTAAAATGAAAACAAATCATCGTAGTAAAGAGCCTTTTGATGTTTGCATAAAAAGAAGGAAAACTCAGGACCTTTCCTTCGGTAAGCGTGACCCCGATCCCACCCAGAGTGTTGTGTTCAAGGACCGTTTTGTGTGCATTACTGTTAACAGACCTGTGTGTGTGTGTCCAGGGTTGTTTGTGCTTCCTTCACACTAGTTTTTGTTATGGTGGTGGTTATTCTTATTTTCCTGGAGGAGGGGATACGGTGCTGCTTGACAGGTGAATAACGTTCACTGAAAACATGTGGTTGGAATGAGCCTTTTCACTAAAAACCCTGTCGACTTTGCTTTTAGTCTTACTTGTATGTTTATTTTTTTGGTGCCTCTCGACAACTAGTGTTTCCAGACCAAGTTTATAAGTCTTGATCTGCTTTCCAGATGTAGGATAATGTGTGATGAGGACAAAATCTGCGGATTCAAAGGTTTTCATAATAAAGGACTGTGTTGCAGCTGCTTTTGGGAAGTCCAATTTGAGACCATATGTTTGCAATCAGTGAAATATTTACCCTGTAATATTATTACACGAGACTATTTTTCATGACTCTTTTGATCTTGTCATAACACTGAGATATTTATCAATGGACATTTAAAAAAAATATACTTTTTTTTTTCCTCCCCCCTGTTCGTAACTCACCTGAATCGGAGCGATTCTTCCTGTTGAACCGACGCCTCTTGTGCACTTTGGTGATTCTTGTTCTACGCTGTACCCACTGAACTGACAAACTGGTAAAGTCTAGTTTCATTACAAAGCTGAGTGAGTGTCTTTTTCTCCTGCTATAAGGGACCCAGTGTGACGAAACCGGAGCGTTTTCTAATTCACACTCGCATGTGTGTCAGCGTGTGAAAGAAACGGTTAAATCGTTTACAAATTGAAGCGGGTTTGGGTTTGTTTTTTTTTTTCCTAGATGAGAAGTGAATAAATCCTCAGAGCCAACTGCTGTCGAGGCTCCATCGCCGCCTGTCTTCTCTGTTGATTTACATGGAGCCAAACGTAGTGGCAATCGTAACGGAGGAGACGCACGCTGAGTAAAGCGAGCGGCCGTGTCGTCGGTGTGTGGCTCAGACGAAAGCTGCTGGTTTGGGGACCGACTGTGGAAGGGAAACACCTGAAACGTCGTCACGGCGCCACTGCTGCAGTGGATCAGAGAACATGTTGCCTTGGCAACTCAATCCCACTCGTTTTTTTTTTTTTTGTAAATAAAACTGACTGATGGACTTATGAAACGTTCTTCAGCTTTCATTTGCTCCTTCGGAGAGCGTCGAGTATCAGAAACGGGTGTGAAGTTAATCAATATGCAGATAATTTTATATGCAAGTTGTTTAATTAAATCTGATGGAAAGTTAATTTATGCAGGGAGGTTGTCGACAACAAATCTACTCTTTACTCCTTTTAAAAACTAGTCAGTGAAACGTAATGAATCCAGCGTGGCGTTTGCATTTTAATAAGCTTCCACAGTATAAAAACAATAATGCAAACTGATATCCAAGTCATAAAACTCCACCATTATGAAATATAGCAAAACGTTAGTTAATAAACTGGAACCACATGGAGAAAGTCTGCCTTGTTGCAGTCTGAAGCTGCCTTTTCCATTCATTTGTTGCAAATAAGATATTTTGAATCACAGAATCTGTCACTTTTTCCCCCTTTTTTTTTTTACATTTATCTTCTGATGCGACTGAAATAAATTTTTTTTTTTTTCACTCTACATCAAAAACCTGTTCCACTCCAGAGTTGAAGCAGCATTTCTCTCCCGTCTGCTGTTCGTGGCTGCAGACTTTCTGCGAGGCTTATTGTGTGACTGGTGGTGAGTGGGCGAGTTGGTGAAACATCATTAAGACACTATGCTGCTCGGTACATGTGTGAGAGAGAAAGAGGAGGAGAGAGAGACCTGGCACTGCAGGCCACTACAACCAAGACTTGCTGTTGCCATAGTAACAGGCTGGGGGAATTTCATATTGATGCACAATTGGCTGGGCTTGTCAAAATACCTGCCATCCTCATCCCTGGAGGTGCCCGACCTGGATGTTCCCCCACAGGAAACGCACACACAGAGCCGCCTCCGGAGCAAAGAGGGAGGGAGGAGGCCGCGGCCGCCGCTAACAGCTGCTCTTTAACGTTCACACAGCTGAGAACAGCCACTCGCAGCTGGCTCAGAGAGGGAGAGACGCTGCCTGGATGGACACCGCTCTGACTCATGTTGGTGGGCGAAAAAAGTCTGCCGGAGAACAGTCGGCAGGGTTTACCCACACTGGCTCCACACTTCCTGTGCGCGGCGTTTAAAGAGCGGGGATGTCGACCTGGGCGCAGCGCGTCTGAGCGCATGTCTGAACTCAAGCAAGCTCTGCAAAGGTTTCATATCTGGATTTATTTTTCATAAAACAGTACACACGTGTTTCCAGTGCCAGTTCGGTGAACAGACGTTTTATTTACTCTGAACCCTTTTAATGCTTTTTGTCAGAAAGCAATTCAAACCACGGCTTAGATGATTAGATGGGTTGTTATTGCACATAAGTATTTATTAAAGAAGAAAAAAAAGGTATCCTGCATTCCTAATTGATCTCTTTACGTGTGGCGTGGTGAAGGAAGAATTAGCTGATTACTTGGAGACGGCAGCTTGTAGTACAAACAACACTGAAGGATTTACACAGCACTGCTCTTCATAGCTTACAGTAAATGCTCCGGAATACAGCGGCTGGATTATATCTGAGGAATCGCGTTTACTACATTCAAGATACTGAGTTAAGATTCAGAAATATGACAGAGGAATTAGTTTGTCCCTGCTGAGCAGCAGCTTCACTACAGGCCTTCAGGCAGACGGCTGTGTAAGTTTCAATCATTCACACGCTGCGCTTCAGTGCCGCCGACTGCCTTTGCTTTATAATGCAGAACATCCCATTTAGCCATTCACTTTAAGAATCCTCCCAGAACCAGAAAAAAAAAAAAAAAAAAAAGGTTTCAGAGGAGATTAAATCCCGATTCTGTCACTTACTACTTAGCTGGATCAGAGCCTTTTTGGATCTCTTACATCTCGGTGCTGCTTTAGGAGGACCAATGGGATTAGTGAGCGACAGCGCCAACAAACTAAAGCGTTTAAGTCAGAGGAGGCGTAATCCCGTCCTCATCAGACGAAGAAGAAGCAGCAGCAGCAGCGTGTTTTTGGTTAAATCTGGCCGTAGCACGAGCTTCAGGCCGACTAGCCGTGAGGGAAGGGATTTGGGGGGATTTGGGTTTGTGTCAGAGGTTTGTGTTCTCAGCTGTCCCAGTCGGCGCTCTGCGAGTCGTCGTCGTCTCGGTCGTCATCGTCCGAGTCGGCCGCCACCTTCTTCATCCTCATCATGGCAGCTTTGATGCTGCGCTCCAGCTCGTTGTCGGCGCCGCTCGGGACTTCCTCTCGCGTGGGAACCACCTGCAACGCGAAGAGTGACAATGTAGCTGGAGACTACGGGCTCATTCAGAAAGTTGGAATACACCTTTTATTATCCAAGTGAAACGCGTCACATAGATCAATTAGACAAAGAATGATGCCTTGGCACCTTTACCTATGATTTTCTGCTACTTGCTAAAGAAAACATGTCACTTCTAATTTTACACAATACCACAGACTAACAAAAATATAGATTTTTAATAACAAAATGTGGGCTTAACAGAATCAGTCAAATACCTGCTTAAACAAATGAGACTCATCTGGCTTATGTTCTAATTTATAATTGATATGACTGTAATTATGATCTGTACTTGATATCAATGCAACATTTTTGTACATTTTTTAAATTTCATGTCAATTTAAGTAAATGTTGACCCTTGTTGGAAGCAGCTGGAGATCTAGTTCAGCTGATTTTAATTTATGTAGCTGAACAGCAACAAGTCGGTTTCGACTAAATTGAACAAAGTCATTAGGTGTTTTACAGCAGCAGTCGGTGTGAAAGGTGCTTAGAGTAGCACTAAAACTGAAACGGGGGTGATTTTAGTCCTGTTTTTCAGTCAGTTGGCTTGCATTTCTATCTAAAGGTTTAGGGAGAAATAAAATCTCTGTTTGACATATTAACGTGTTACCATGTTAATGCAACAAACGCGCAGATGTGACCATTGAAGGGAAGGGAAGGAGAGTTTCTGAGACACTAATAGCACAGAAGCACTGCTGGTTTTTTAGTAACACCTGCGCCTTCCCCACTGACCAGTCAACACATTCACTAAGTGTGAAGCTAAACAATAATAATAACAAAAAAAAAAAAAAAAGGTCAGTGTTCGTTATTAGATGTGTAGTTTTTGTTTTTAGGTTTAAAACTGAAGAAAATGTAGTTTGTCTTTAAAACTCAGTGTGGCTCCGAATTATAAATAAACCAATTAAAACTTTCACCCCGTGTTACTGTAAAACCAGAAACCGTTGAATTCGCTACTGGTGCAACTTCCTGATTGGTCAGCAGGCGCTCAGATAATTAGATGTCCTGCATCAGTAATGAACGCCACCTGAATTGCTTTAGTCATAAGCCTATTCAGTGAGAAAATGAAAGTCTTAGAGTAGACTAATGTTTGTGTGAGCTTTGACTGTTTCCACTGGTAAAAAAAAAATATTATAATTTGTGTATTTATTCACTGCAAACAGCAAAATATTGCAGTAAAATCTGAGGTTGTTTATGAATTTAGGACATTAATCTCTAGAGAACCAAAAGGCTGGAGGCTCATTTTAAATACCGATGCTGATGTTAAACTGTAGATGTATTTTTTTAATCTAGACGTTGACGTCTAGATTAGACGTTGCAACTGAACGACAAACCAAAAGCTACCAAGCTGACAAGAGGAACTTTACATTCACGCAACAAAACAGTCTTTTTTTTTTTTCACCAAAAATGAGCAAAAGCTTTCATGTTTAGCCTGATAATTAAAAGTTGAGTTGATCATTTCTGAAAACAAGTCCGACTGTTTTCCCAAAATGGAGCCCGCCACGTTAACTTTTGGAAATAATATCAACTTTTTCTTAAGCGATAGAGAAAATTGGCATCTCTCTTTGTGTAGTGATTTTTGAAAATGCACAACCACGATACGGAGAAACACGCAAACATGAAAACCGACGGCTGTAGAGCAGTCAGAAAAATAAAAGTCTGATTTGACTATCACTTGTTTTATATACCAAAGCATTCCCATCTCATTCTTTCCCAAAATGGGAGCGAAATATGAGACTGTAAATTTAATATGTCCTGGAATAATTAAACACCTGTGATAAGTGATCTTGTTATATAACCTAAACCAAACCAAACGTTTTTATTCCCGACCTGAATTTTAAGGATGTGTGAAAACAAATACAGCCATATGGAAAACCATCATTTAAAAATAATATATATATATATATATATATATATATATATATATATATATATATATATATATATATATATATATATATATATATATATACTATGAAAATATCAAGGCATTAAACGATCTAAAATACTAAAATGAGCTGTAAATATATTGTCATTTTCAAGAAACATTTACACACAGTGATCTGTACTGAGCTTCAAGGTTTTCCATTTGGTCAACTTAACAATGCTGTCTCATAGAAAACAGCTGATCTGTATGTGTTGTTTAACTTGGTGTCAAATTTATCTGACTGATAGGAAACATCAGCAGTGAAGTATCACTGGTGACAAACATCTAACCTTCTTCAGTTTGACTCCCTCTCGGATGGCGGACATCAGATTGCTCCTCGTGTCAGAGTTGTTCGTAGCATCGGGAACCTTTCGCAGTTTAATCTGTCCGCGTTGCAGCGAGGCCAACACTTCGTCCATAGTTCCTGCAGTAATGCCACATGCAAAAAAAAACAAAAGAAAGGTAAGAAACAATAAAAACAGAAAGAAACATTAAAACTGGTAAGAAATATTAAAATGGTAAAAAAAAAAACAACTCTAAGAAACATTGAAAACTGAAAGAAATCAAAGTGTTAAGAAGTAACAAAAGTGGTAAGAAACAGAACTTAGAACATTTGAAAAAAAGAGACATTCAAAACTGCATTCTTTGATGTCAAAGAAATAAAGTCGTGTTGAACTGGAGTTGAGGGTGTGAAACAGCAAGACTGAGGTAAAAGCCTCCGTCTGTCCTCATGGGAGACGTTGGGAATATAGGACAGAACACCATGTGCAAACACACTTTCCACTAGAACAAACAAACACAACTGTGCCAGCAGTGGGGAAATGCTGCATCTCCTGCTCCCTGCCCACAGCGCTCTCAAACTGCTTCTCGTCTTTATACGTTTATCGCGAGCTGCCTAAAGTCTGAACTTTGCTGCACACTTTCGCCTCACCTATGTTTTGCTTGAGCGTGTTCTTGGCTGGAAAAGGAGGCTCCTCTTTTTCGCTGAGAGGCATCGGCGTGTCCTGAGGGGAAGGTGCAGCTCGGACAGGCGGTGGTGGCAAGGCAGGAGGCGGTGGTGGGAGTGGTGGTGGAGGTGGAGGAGGAGGAGGTGGCGGTGGCACAGTGGGGCAGGTTAATGTTGGCGGAGGCGGTGCAGAGAAGATCTGAACAGGGATGTCTTTAGGCTGCTGCTTTTTGGGTGTTTTGCTGCGTCTAGGAGCCGGGCGGACGGAGGACGGCTCATCAGGAGAGTCAGACGGAGACAGGCTGATGATGGACAACGGCTGGGAGGGACAGGACACTTCTGAGGGAGACTTCCTGGACTGAGGCGTCTTCAGGATGTACTGTCCCTGTCGCTTCTATGAGGGAGGAGATGAAAAAGATCACATAGTGGAACGTAACGCAAAATCACAAAGAAAGAAAGAAAGAAATCCCAACATGGGAGAAATCACCTCTTTCTGTTCATTTTAAATAAAAAAAACAAAAAGTTATAACAATTTAAATAGAGCAACGTATAGCAAAAACCTGGAGGACAATTTGTTTCCATCTGCAAGAGAACTAGAATATTTATTTTCCAGCAAGACAACGAGCTGAAGCATCCATCTAAAGCTACGCAGAGTTTGAAGAAAACAAGGTGGATGTTCTGGAGTGGCCCAGTCAAAGCTCAGGCCTCAGTCCTACAGAGAATTTGTGGCAGGATTTGGAAACAGCTGATCACAGCCGACCCACATGCAGCTTGACAGAGGTTGGATAGTTTACAAGGAAGAATAGGGTAAAACTGCAGCATCCTGACGAATGGGTGCATCAGTTTATCGGCCGGCCGATAAATTGACCCCCGATCTCCTTCATTTTGGGGTCTCGGTGATCGGCCGATACCGACACGTGAATCAGATCTCATCCGCCGATCTTATCTGCTTCAGCAAAGGTCTAAACAATCAACCACTGTCCTGTTTTGCTCTGCTGGGAGAGAGGTTTGACTGGCAGACCAGAGTCCACCAGGTCATATCTAACAATAATCATCCCACTGTTACTGACTCAGTGACTTTTGGAGGTCAGCCAGAAATCATCAATCGGTGCTCCCCTATCCAGATGTGTGGCTTGATTGCAGCTGATCCACACAGACTCCCTGCTGGGGTTGCAGCCAAAGGCGCTTCAACAAAACATTGACTTGAAGGAGCTGAATATTTATGCTATTGTTTATTTTATATTACATATTTTAGTTTTTTGTCAGCATCTTGTAGAAATCAGCGTTTATTTAAAGAATGAATGGTTCTTTTTGCATTTATTTTGCCAAGATTTATTATTTTCTTTTTTTGTAAAAGCAATAAAAAAGGGGGGAAAGAGAATACCTTTTACAAAGCCATGACATTTTCATCTGGGCTTTCCCATTTTTTTTTAATTCATTAGTATATTATAATTTCAATATCATCTATAATCTTTACTATTCTTCTGTCATTTAACAAATGGAAATATTTTTGTAATCCTGACCAAACAATAAAACAAATCCGCCGTGTTTTTAAACAGAAACCCATCTGGCCTTTATTTATTTTATCTCATTTTTTTAAATGAAGGAGGATGTGCAGGAGAAAGAAAGAGACAGAACGAGAGGCTGACCTCTCTGAAGGACCGTAATCTGCTCAGGGTCTTCTCTCGCTCCTGGTCCACCCACTCCTTCCTCCTCTGATCCTCCTCTTTCCTCTTCTCCCGTTTCTGCAGACAACAGAGGGAGACACAGAGAGCCACTGAAGAGAGGAGGGGAAAAAAACAACCTAAATCTAGTTACCTCTGTAGATAGTGCTGCGTGTGTGAGGGTCTGTGTGGGCTGCCTGGTTGCTGTGGTGACGTACCAGGTGGACCTGATGATGCTGGTTGAAGACTATCGAGCTGTGCTTGGCCGCCTGCTGCTTCTGCTCCTGGGCGTCCATGCACTGATCCTGAAGACACACGCACAAAAGAAATCCATGAGTACAGATCATTTTTATTTGAAGCCAGCTTTGTATTTTATCAGATTAGTGGGTGTTTCAACGGAGGACCAAAACCGACATAATAAGAAATAAAAGCATAAATATATATTTTGTTTTTCCTTTTTCCCTACACGAGATTCCGTTAAGTAATGTATATATTTTCTTTTTCATTTCCCCTAAACATGCGTTTTTGTCATGAAAAGTAAATATTATGTTTTGTCTTTTTTCTGCTTGCTCTTTTTCTGCTGCATCGTTATGCTAATGAGAAGAGCTGCCTTCTATGTCCAGCTCCTCCAGCTCCTATTGGCCAATAGAGCTTTCGAACCAACGTCACTGCGTCAGATGTTGTGGGGCGTTTACGTCTCGCGCAGTCGCTCGGTGCCATCTTTACAGGCCACAGATCAAAAGAAACTTTGTCCCGGTGGTCTTATTGTGTTGCTGACTGCAGTGAAGTTAGTTTCGAGTTGGATATTCAAATATCCAACTCGAACAAATTTCCGAACCAAACACTCCTGTCAAACAAATGTTAATAAATGCCTTGTGACCAACTGATACAGAAAAGTGGTAATTCATGCTTTTACATGAGACACACTACCCTATATTAAAATGTCAAGTCATATTCAATATTTTAAATGACTTTAATGTTAAATAATATAATGTTTTCTTCAATAGCTTCCACATTGCGTGCCACATTGACTAGAAATCAGTGTGTAATTGTTGAATTAAACTGTATATATGAGGCACATGCATTTTTATTCCATTTTAACAAAATTTTTATTTTTGTTACCTATTTTTTTAGTTTAAATTTAGTATTTCTCTTCAATAGCCTCTAGGTCATGATAAATGTGCCAAAACCTTCTGGAGCTGAACAGAAACAAAACTGAAGTTATTATTTTTGGACCTAAAGAGGAATAGTCTAGAGTTATAGATCTAGAGTTGTATATATACATACATACACACACATATATATATATATATATATATATATATATATATATATATATATATATATATATATATATATATATATATATATATAGAAATAGATTCAGCCAATAAGATGGGGAGAATGCTTATGAGCCCACAAGAGAACTATCACTATTGTAATATCTATGATGACATCACAGGCGTTTTCATGCATCATACACCAGAATTGTACTTTATAAAGGCACACAGTTCCATAGAACCTCACCCACTTTTCACTTGTGCGGATTGTGCGGATTGTGCTGTTGTGCGGATTGTGCGGATTGTGCTGTTGTGCGGATTGTGCAAATTTTGCGAATTGTGCAGAGAACATTGTTTCGAGCAAAACTTGTTTGAATAAATCAGAATGCCGAAACCCATGGTCTATCACCTCAACAATGAGCTCTTTGACATCTTTCAGCAGGAGATCAAGGAGCTTCACCAAGATGTAGCGGCCATTACGATGGAGAAAGTCAACACTGAACGCTACTATGAAGACATTGTCTCAGAAGAGAGGGAGGAGAAGCAGGCCTTGCTTCTGGAAATTCAGGAGCTTAAGGAGAAGCTGGAGAAAGCCGAATCCAAGAACCAAGGCCGGGTGGGCAGAGATGAGACAACGTGCTGCCCCACAATACAAGAACTCCAACAACAAATGAAGGAGATGCAAAAGAAACACCGTGAAGAAATTGAGATGCTCACCATTGAGTTTGAAATTGATCTCGCTGTGGCTCAGAAAGAGATAAAGAAGCTCCAGGAAAAGCTGGAGAACAAAATAAATCTTGATGCTAAAAGTGATTCAGCAAAAAGGGAAGCCATTAAGAGTCTCCTAAAAATCTCTGGTGACTGTGAAGGAATGAAGAACATCTCCACTGAACATTCAATCAAAGTTCAAGATGAGGACATTCCTCATCTTGATGTCCAACAGCTTCAAGAAATGCTCCAGAGAGAAAGAAAGCTGAGGATTGAGGCAGAAAAAGAAAATCTGGATCAATTCAAAATTTCTGAGGCTTTCTTTGACATGATGGAGCAAGAAGTGAAAACAGAACAAGAACGTAGAGCCCAAATTGAGGCAGACAAAGAGGAAGCTGTGGAGATCGCAGAACAACTAATTAAAAAGCTTGAGGACATGGAGAAAATGTCCAAGGAGGGTCGATCTGAGACTGTTTTGGTTGGCAAAATCCAAATGGAGCTCCAACAGCTCGAGAAAATGGTCGAAAAAGAGAAAAGTCTAAGGGTCCAAGGAGAGACCGAAATCGCTTCTCTCTCGAAGATGATAGAGTCTCTTCGGCAAGAAACAGACAAAGAGCTGCAGAAAGAAAGGGCTCTAAGAGAAGAGGCAGAAAGAGGTAAGTTGGAGTTGGAAAAGGTAAGTGATCAGCTTCACCAGGGTTTAGAGAAAGCCTGCAATATGACAGAGACGCTCTCGGCTCAGACAAAACTCCTTACCAACAAGCTTCAGGCAGAGGACAAAAAACGCAGATCTCTGCTAAAAGAAATCCAGGATCTCACCCTTATGTTGGATAAGGAAAAGGCCCTTAGAATCGAGGCAGAAATGGAGATATCTGCACAAAGACATCCAGGAACTCACCTTCATGCTGGACAAGGAAAGAAACCCATAGAATCGAGGCAGAGAATTATGAAATGGAGACAATAGAGATTTTAGAGGCAGAAGGAAGCAGAATGCAGAACCTGGCAGAAGAAAACACCATTTCATCAAATTTCAACCTTAAAGTCATGCGAATAGCTCTTTGTTGGTGTTAAGCAGTGGTCCCCAAAGTTGGTCCTCGAGGGCCGGCACCCTGCATGCTTTAGTTCTCTCCCTGGTGGTAGTAACAACCTTTTCAGCATGTCAATATTCTTCTTAGGCTTCTAATGAGCCCTCGAGGACCGACTTTGGGGACCACTGATTACAAGTATTAAATCTAACTAGTATTTCATTTGAGTCAGGAGTTTGGTAGGAAGGAGACACCTTAAACATGTAGGGAATGGGTACTTAAGGACTACGGTTGGGAACCACTGCGACGGCGGTCAATTCCCGGTCTGTCCACCCTTTGCCGTTTGTTTTCCCACTTCACCCACCTTGCCTGCTGGTGTTGGTCAGGCGTGCCGATGGCACAAAAAATTTGCAGCCTCACTTCTGTCAGACTGTGGCTACAATCCAGTAGCTTGCCATCAGCGGTGTGTGAATGAGTCCTTTGACATCGACATATTTACTCCCTTCAAATAATGAAGTGGCCTGAAACAGGCCATACAGTGCGATTTTGTTTTAAATTTTGCATGTTCTATGTCAGGGGTGTCCAAAGTCGGTCCTCGGGGGCCGGCATCCTGCATGTTTTAGTTCTCTCCCTAGTGGTAGTAACAATCTCCACAGCAAGTCAATGTTCTCCTTAGGCCTTCCAATGATCCATCATTTGATGCAGGGAGAGAACTAAAACATGCAGGATGCCGGCCATCGAGGACCGACTTTGGACCCCCCTGTTCTATGTCAATGTTATATTTTTATTGAACTCTTTAATTTAAAAAATGCTTAAAAACAAAACGACGACATAAAAGGAAAGGAGTTGGTATTCAGCCTCTTTACTGTAAAGGGTAAAGAGGCTCTTTACAGTGAAGAGCCTCCTTCACTGTAAAGAAACAACATTTCTGTTTTAAATGTTGAACATTTTACATCATCATTGTACGTATTCAAACTCATAACGTCATGTAAATTGCTGTTGATTGCGTTTGTCTTTGTTTTAAATGTTGCAAGATCAATGTCAATGTTGCATTTTTATTATGTCCTCCTTTTTGTTAAAACAAACGCTAAGAAACTATCAAATAAAAAAAACAACAACTAAACAAAAATGGAAAAGTTGGATCTATTCCGCCTCTTTCCAATAATGTAAATAGTTTCTTCCTGTGTTTGTTTCTGTTTTAAGTTGAAAGTTATATACCATCATTCTACGTATTCAAACTTTACTGTAATGTAAATAGCTGTTGATGTGTTTGCCTTTCTTTTAATTGTTGCAGGTATGTTGCAAAAAAAACAAAAAAAACAAGCAAAATAAGGGAGGAAAGTTTTATATCGTCATTCTATGTATGAAGATATAAAAGTTTTATATTGTCATTCTATGTATGACAGTATAATACATACATAGAATGACAGTATAAAAGTTTTATATCATCATACATAGACAATATGTTTTATGTCATTCTATGTATTCAAACTTTAATGTAATATAAAGACCTGTTGATGTGTTTGTCTTTGTTTTATATGTTGCAAGTTTTGTGTCAGTGTTGCGTTATTATATCCTCCCTTTATGTAAAAAGAAAGCTAAAAAACAACAAGAAAAAAAACAACAAAAAAGGAAAATAATTTGTTGTCTTTTTCTATTTGATCTCTATGAAGTGGGTCTGGTGACATGGGAGAGAAAAAATGTGGCCGCGACTTAATAATGGGAACGAGAATAACGAGAATGGTAATTACTCATTTATTTCGTGGGAAATACTTAACCATGATAAGTCGTGGCCACGATTTTGTTTTCCTTTTTCCTGACTCCACAGATTTCAGATGTACTCAACTTGACCGATAAGAGCTGGCTAAATTCATTGAAAACATTTTCCACATATTTGGGGTTTTGTATAACATTAGTGTCTGACCTTTGACATTGATTCCCAAACATTCAAGAGAGTCAAATATGCTCAAGAAAATCATTTTACAGTTTGGTGAATTATGAAATATTAGGAAGTCCTAAGCCTAAGGACTCTTATGCTCTTATGCTCATTGTTCTCGCTTAAGAAATTATAATTAGGAGACGCCAATTTGATTAGTACAGATGCTTCATTATTATAAGGTCTCAGCGGTTTGTTGGGAATCATTAGAGAAAGAAAATGCATCATGAACACATATCTTAGATCAGAGACCATGTTGATTTTAAAGCAGGGTTAGCCTGTCCGAAGGCTAACCACTGAAAATCACACAGACGACTGTTCTGTCGATTATCTAAAAATGAAAAATAATAACACGACTAAAAACCTACGAAGACATAGCTGTCCACCTTGATTGGTAGTGTCTGAAATAGGTGTTCTGCATATTTAGATCGTTCATTAGCAGGCCACAGCAGAGCTAGCTAATTAGCATGCTAAAGAGCTAAGCCAGCAATTTGAAGTAGGGGCATATAAACAGGGTAACTCTGGAGGAGTTGCAGATATCCACACCTCCGTTGGTAATTCTGAAGGCAACATAGCTGTGTGTTGTTTATGAGTGGTAAACAGGGCTTTAAGTGAAAAGAATAAGTCCTAGCACTCCCCTTAATCTCTTTTCTAAAGTGTGTTGATTAAAGTAGGTTGAAAAAAAAAATGCAAACCCTACTTTTCTATTTGTAACAGAAAACAAAGGAAAAAACTTTGATCACTTTTCTTCACGTTTGAGTTCATCCATTTCACAAGAATTCAACAATATTTGAAGAAATTTGTGTAAAATGTGTAAAAGTTTATAGTCCATAGCTCATAAGTGTAACTTCCTGAAGTTGTCCACACCAACTCTGGGATGAAGGGGACAGTCCCCACCAATATTTCCTGCCCCTTTTTTCTTTATGTGCATCTATGAAACTCGGCAGCAGCTGCACGTTGTATTCAAAGCATTAACAGCCAGGTAATGCTTTATAAAATTCCTTTGTAAAACGTAAATTCAGAGTTCTTAGGGTAACACTATATTTGAAGGGGTGTGCATAAGACTGACATGACTGTCAAATTCACCAGTCTTTATGAATGTTTATGACAGTTGTCATGAAGTGTCATTCGGTAAATAATGACACTTTCAACGTAAAGTTCCTCTAAAAGTTGCATTAAAAGTCCATTAAAAGTGCCAACTTTGCATGATTTTGCAAATTATGATCATTTAATGCAAAGTTGGCATTTTTAATGGCCTGTCAATGCAACTTTTAGAGCAACTTTGCATTAAAAGTGTCATTATTAACCGAATGACACTTCATGACATGACAACTGTCAGACTTCTTTATGTTCATGACAGATGTTATGTCATGTTTATGACAGTGTCATGTCAGTCTTATGCACACCCCTTCAAATAAAGTGTTACTGTTCAGAGTCACCTGGTGACATGGTAATGTAGAGCTGTGTATCGACAGGGAATAAAAAGGGTCAAATCAAATAAAAATGAGTGTACCTCATCTGTACAGACTGGTAGAACAATCGTTCTACCAGCTGATCCCCTCCAGTCACTGAATAGATGCTTAAAACAGATAAATGTGCCACAACTTTCTGCAGCTGAACAGAAACAAAACTGAAGTTATTATTTTTGGACCTAAAGAGGAACAGTCTAGAGTTATAGATCTAGAGTTGTAGATCTACAACAATTTCTCACTGATTTTGACTCAATAGGTCACATGACCTAGAAGCTATTGAAGAGAAATACTAAATTTAAACAAAAAAAGGTAACAAAAATAAAAATGTAGTTAAAATGGAATAAAAATATATGTGCCTCATATATAGAGTTTAGTATAACAATTACTGATTTCTAGTCAATGTGGCACGCAATGTGGAAGCTATTGAAGAAAACGTATTATTTAACATTAAAGTTATTTAATATGTTCCAGAGTTCAAATCTAAAATCTGCACTCCATCCTCAAAATAAAAATTACATAGTTATGAGCTTTAAATATGTGTATTTGTACCCTGAAGACAAATGAACTGCTACCAAGAGTCTTCTTTTTTTAAAGGTGCAGACGGGTCAAAATGAATAAAGTGGTCGCAGCGCGTTTTGCACCTTTTTGTTCCTCAGGTAAGCCCTCCGAGCACAGATGTTGCCCCTCTTGGTCTCCAGGGTCTGCAGGCGTCGTTTGAGCTGACGCATTAGTGGCGGTTCAGCCTGTTGCAGCGCTGTGTGGACCATGCTGTGCAGCTCCTCTGGATCCTCACACACATCATAGTACACCACCTCCTCCTTCAACTCTGAAACAAAAGCACATTCATACAACATCATTATGTACGCTATGGATTTACTTGTTATAATATTCAAAATATGACATCATCAACATAAACTGCTGATTCGCCTTCACCTGTGAGTGTTCACATTAAATCCTCCATAAAGTCACATAATTAGTTTGCAAAATTCATTTTCGTTTGGCCCTTCTTTTCAGCAAATAGTGAAGGTCACACTGCTATGTTTTAGTTTGGAAACTCTGGAGAGCATAAAAGGTTAAAAGTACAGGTGGACACACACAGACACACGCACAGCATGTTAATACTGCACACGCACCTTGGAGGTAACACCCCATGTCCCTAAAGGAGCAATTAGAGAAATATTTACATGAACGGAGGGGACCATTTCCCCAGAGTGACCTCAAATCAAAGTGTGTCAAATTTACATGTAAATATGTATGACATCATTTAAATTCAGTTTTTTAAAAACATGTCTAGCTCTCTCCCTGTAACTCTTCCTATAAAAAGGTCTGGAGATGCTAATGCTTAAAATAACTACTTCTGTTTTATTGCCTAAAGTTGGCATCAGATTTGACAGAGTGTTATTTTACTGCTGTTTTAGCAATAACTCAGGACCAACTCTGACCAGCTCCACATTAAAATCTGTGAAACGTCAACTCATCAAATCAGGACTAGATTACTAATGAATTATACATTCTCTAAAGTACAGCTTTTTGTCGGCGATGCTTTTATTTTGTTTGCATACACATTTTTCCAGGCTCAGTTTCACTCCCAGTAACTTAGATTGTGTACTTTACCCAAATGCAATGTTAAATATTTCCTAATTCTACAGGAAGAAAATAGTTTGAAGTACTAATTGGTCGTGTCACATGAGAGACACGGTCCTGCTGACCTCACCCTGTCCGTCAAGCCTTCATTATGCAGCTTTTATGCTAATAATTTTAATATCACACAAAGATGATATGATTAAATATGAAATGCTGTTTTTACTTCATGCTTGCTATTACTTAGGAGAAAAACAAAATCTACAATTATTTTAGCTTGTTTTTATGCCTATGATCATTTTTATTCTAAAAATCTATTCCATCTGTTGCATTTAAATACAGATTGATGCATTTCTTTTCTATGAAACCTTTCCACTAGTTTCAGCACACACCTTTAATTTGTCGACGCAGGGTGTCTATCTGAGCCACCAGCAGCTGCTCCTCGTTCTTCAGGATCTCAAACTTGGCGTCATAAAGTTCCAGCTGGGTTTCATAGAACTGCAGTTCAAGCTGGTCCACTGTGTCGCGTTTCTGACCGGCCTCAAACGCCGACCCCTGCTCAGCTCTCTGGTTCTGGACTCTCCCTGACAAGTTCTCCAGCTGTAGAAAAAAAAAAAAAACACCCTTGTCAAGTCAGCCTTTAAAAAGTGTGGAATATTTGGCTTTTTAAATTCACACCCCGTTTGTACATGCGTGCTAAAAACACTCTGACACAACTGCATGTTTACATCTTTTCAACTGATGTAAAAATATGTGATGTAGAAACGTCTTCAGACAGTTTTCTTCTCTGCGACTCTTAATGAGGGGAGCTGGAATCAGCGGCTGCCTGCAGCGTTATGACAGTAACAAAAAAAAAACGCTTGACATTCTTAATTATGAGCTGACACTTTATATTCAAGCCCATGTGCCTAAATGCTCTCTGTCATAAAGAACGCTGCGTGACGCCCAGAACATTTGCAAAGTAAAATTATTTTTCTCCCTTTTTTCAGTTCAGACTGAGCGATCCCAAACTGAAAGAATTACTTCAACATTTGCAGTCACAGAGTTTAACTAAAGCACAAATGGAGGAAAATTCACATTCAAGTGTTTTGTTACTGCAGTCTTTGCACACTCAGGTTCGGAGATTTTCTCCCAATCTTTTCTGGTGATTATCTTTAAAAGTCCTCCTGGTAGAATAAGGACCATTGGTGGAAATCAGGAGATGTTCAATGTGGTTCAAACAAATATCCGGTTTCACTTTCCACACTGTATAAGTTGGGAATTTTGACAATTCAGGTTTCCCCTGAACATATGCTAAATGTTTGAATGAACGAACATACTACTACTACTACTTCTGATGAGATAAAATGTAGAAAAAACATTTTTTTCATCCTCTTTTCCTATACCTGAAATAGGACTGGGTAATATGGCTTAAAAATAAAACCTGCAGATTTTTTCATAACAGATAAAAATCGATTTATCACCCAGTCCTAACCTGGAAAATACATTTATTCCATAATTTTCTGTTCTGCGTACAAACTCAGCCAGATCCACAGTCGATGTTTGGATCAACGTCTCTCACCTTGTTGCTAAATTTGGCAAAGGGGGAAGTTGCAAAGGTGGAGGGACTTCTTCAGTTTAATTGATCTAAATGTAGGTTATATTTGCAGCGAGCATCAAAAACCAAAACATACAAATTGCATAAAGAGGTCTTGATGTTTTCCAAGGGCGTCGTGCGCACGCACAGAAGTGCTCACTGTAAAAAAAAATAAAAATATATATAAAATTAAAAAAAAAAAAAAACAGTCCAATGTGTCACACTGTGAAATCTGCAGGCACACCGGTGCATTCATCAGAGTCACCGTGTTACGGTGCCACCAGCACAAAATCCTGCGTAGGTGCAGCTCGCTGATCTCATTAGAAACACTCGCACACAGCCGTCTATGCAAAAGACTCACGTTGATTTCACAGTGGTGGCCACTTCCAGCATCCTCGGGCCTGACTTTTTAACAAGCTTAATCAGATGAATAATGCAGGTGAAGATGCTGAAAGTGTTCTCCTGCTGCCCCCACAGAAAAGGAGAAAAGACCAGCTCAATATGCACAGCGTGACAGCTTATGGCTGCAAATAATCTGCTGCAGTTTCCCACTCCATACTGTGATCCTGATATTAAAATTGCTCTACACCAGGCAGTCACAGAGCACACACAGGCGGTACGCTGTGAATATGTATACACACAGACACACTGACTTATTTATGCATGGAGGCAGGTTTTTTTTTTGTTTTTGGGGGGGTGGGGGGAGTGGAGGGATTCTTTTGAGTTTTTAGAGAGAGCTTTATAAATAGATCAAAAGAAGCTCTGCAGCCAGAGATTCAGACAAGAATACCAAACAACAACAACAACAAAAAAGCCAGCAGTCCATTTAAATCGCTGCAGAACTACAGTCACTACTAAAGCTGTTTTGCCTTGGTACAAAAAAAAAAGAAAAAAAAAAAAACCTATTAAGCGCAGACAGAATGTTTTCACCAATTACAGAAGCCCCGAAGAAGCAGCCGAAACCCCCGTCAGACGTACCCGCTCTTTGATGGTGTCCTTCTTGCGGCTGAGGCACATCTCTGCCGCTCGCATGTGCTGCAAGGTTTCCTTAGCTAAAAGGAAGCGCAGCTTCTCCAGTCTAGGAGCTGCAGACGCCCAGGCAGCGGGTCCAAAACGCTTCTTATCCTCCTCCATCTGCTTTACCATGCCTTGACATAGACATGAAAATCTGTCAAACTGCTGCATCTCGCAAAAACTTAACAGACCTTATATGATTACATGAGAATTATCAACTAAGCTTGTTTGTTTGTTTTTTCCCTGATAGCTCTTTGAAAATGATGTTGATGACATCCAGCTATGACATCATTGCTTTAGGATATCTCACTTGCTTTAAAAGTTTTATTGAACTACCTGGAAAAAACAGTGGCAGTTTCTCCCACCTGAATTTCAAGCTGCTCCACAAACTGATCTATATTCTGGATGTACCGTGAAAGCTGGACAATAAGCTTTTGAAGTCAACTTTCTCAAACCCATGCAACAGTTCAAAGTTAAATCAGTTTTTTTTTTGTTTCTTTTCACTATGAACCTGAATTGATTACAAAGAAACTTAAAAGTTTTTTTTTTTTTTGTTTACCTTGACAACCAATGAATTCACACCTTTGGCGTTTAATGTTAGCATTTTGTTAAATTCTTTGAATAATTTGAAATTCTTCAAAAGACAGAGCATGGAAAATTGATTAATTTACATCTGAATTGCAGTCATTTAATATCATATAAACTGAATGTTTTCTTATCTAATTAAAAAAAAGATGCTTTCGTGTGATTTTATTTTATTTTTTTTACCAAATCCACCACAGAATTTATAATATGATCCATATAAAAAGAAAAGAAAAGCAAACAACTCATACCAGCCAGGGCCTTTGAAGTCTGTGCAAAGTAGTTGACAGTGATGTCCTGAATGGAGGCGACTGCATCCTCTGCTTTCATTCTCCACTCCTCCGCCTCCTTCTCCAGAGCTGCAATCCTCTTGGGACCCAGCTCCTCAAACTCCAAGGATTTCTGCAGAAAAACAAAAGAAAAGAAAAGAAAAAAAAACAAAAAAAAACAAGTGGACCGTTTATGATCAGAGCACCACCTCATAGATCTGACAAACTCTGGGATTCAACTTAGATTTGAGATAAATAAAGAGTCTTTAGCGGAACAAGAAAATGACTCGTGTTTTGTTCAAGCTTCAACCGGACTCACTAGAATCTCCATCTTGTAAAGGCAGGCCAGTTCTCTCATGTCTCTAAAGGGCTGCAACAGGTACTGGAAGAAGCTGGTGGCGACAGTAACCAGGTCCTGATAGGCTTCATCTTCCTTCTCATAGATGCTCAGCAGTGCCACCATCCCATTAGTGGTGCTGTGAGTCTGCAGCAGCTGTAAAAACAAAACAAAACAAAAAAAAACAAACAAAAAACAATAAAATAAGTGAACATAAAAACACCATCACCTCAGTTTATTCTCAGAGCCGTCTGTTGTTTGCCTTGTATGACTTTTCACAGCTCAGATGGGATAGAAAAATCTTTACTGGAAGTTGTTTGGTGCGCTCTGATCGATGCCAAACACACAGCTGGTGCAAGTCTTTTTAAACAGGATGTGGGTGGTCCAGAGTTATAGCCTTGCAAAGCCATATCAATGTGGCTAAATAGAGATAATAAATCAATAATATAAATCCAGTGAAATTTACATATGAACAAATATTAACGACTTCACAGGTTTAATAAGGGATGACCCATTGAAAATCACAGACAGGCAATTTCTGAGATGCTGACATTTCAACAGGGATTATAAGAAAAACGTGTTATAAATCAATAATTCAGTTTTTAATGGGGGGGGGGGGTTTCGTTAAAAATAATAAACATAACACATTTAAAATGCACCACTTTGCAGGATCTCTATTGAATTTGTTCATCCACTTAAAAAAAGGGGGCTTTTATTCATGAAATCAATTACTGTAGTTTATAGATTTTTAGTTATTGACATGAGATTGAAAAAGTATGTTTTCACTTTGGCATCGAGGACTTCCTTTTTGAAATTCTGGCAGCAAAGTCACAGCTGCGTCATGCTAGACCTGATTTTAGATATTTCCACTGCCACTGTGTGGCGCTCTTCTTACAGGCAACTGTTTCCACTTCAGGAATACACACAGCTTAGTGAGGTAAAAGTCTGCAATAATCCAGTGATGTGGGACTCAAACACTTGCTCCAGGGTAGGTATTTGAGTCAGGAAGATAATTCATCAAATAAAAAATAAAAAATTATATATTATTTCTTAAAATGTTATGATTATAAACAAAGGCCAAATGAGTTGTAGTTTGAGTTAATTTGCATTAATGTTACTGGGAAAAACAACTACCAGATATAACAATGCATTTTATTAATTGTTACACTATTAAACCCCAAGTGTGGCAAATCTATATTCAATGAATTAACAAATATGTTTTTTAGGGTTGGACATCATAATGGTGACGTATGTATGGAAAGAATAACCGTGTGTTCAAAAATATGCTTTTGGAGATAATACAGGGATGGAAATGTGATTGTTGTACCTGATTAAATGTATATTGAACATAATGGCATTTATTTGTGGATAACATATTAGCTCTTTCTGCCTTTTTCCAGCTTCTTTTATTATTATTATATATATATAGCGTTTATTTGTTGCGTCATTCATCTTTATTACATGCATGTTTTGATTTCTTTGTAGACGTGGATTATTTGTATTGTTGCCAACATCTGCTGTAAAATTCATGACAAAAGCCACACTGAAAGATATTTATTTTTAGACAATTTGTGAGCTAAAATTGAGGGAATAAACTTTCCAAATGAATTCAATTTTGGGCCCTAAATGTTGCAAGAGAAAATGTGGAAAGTTATTATTAGCCTGCAGGATCTTGAAGGAAACACATCCGATCCTTAAAAGACAAACAATAATCTGAAGATATAACGTCAGAGTAGTTGAGAAAATACTAAAAGTTAACACATGAAAACAGAAAGATGAACAGCAACATCTGAAATAGTACAAATCACAGGAAATGTTCACTGAAAAGAAGAGCAAACTTCCAGTGAAAAGGTGCTTGTTAATTCTTATTTAAAGAAAATGTGACTGTTATCAAATGCTTCAGTATTGGTTGTTGTTGTGCATTTCTTCCATGTAGAAACAAACTAAGTGAATGGATTAAATCAGCCCTTAATGAAGACCTTATGGGGCATAAGATGGACTTTTGTGAATCAGACTGAACTCCAGGACCACCAGCAGCCGTGTGGCCCCTCACCTCCTTCAGGTGACCCTTGGCCCTTGACATCTCCTCCTGCATGGTCTTCTTTTTGAACTCCTGTAGATTTTCAAAGTACTCATCCACATCCCTCTCATCCTGGGTGAACAGAGTTTCCAGGACGATCTTTCTCCCGCACAGGTCAATGGCTGTGCTGAAGTATTTTTCCAGCTTCCTGCACGGCGTGTCAAAGTCCCTCTGGTCGTCATCCTCCGGACCGGACTTCCGATTCGACAGCAGCAAGTCCCAAATGTTACTTTCCCCAAAGTCGGATAAATCCGGGAAGCAGCCGCCCAGGACGTCCGCCACGCATGTGAACTGTAGGTGGACGTGTTTCAGGTCGTTCACGGAGAACAGTCCTGCCCAGCTCATCTGAGGGTCGCCACCCGCGGGGACCTCAGCCTTACGTTTCTGCCGCTGTAACGTCCGGTTGTGGCAGGTTACTGCGAACTTCGACTCGATAACGTTCCACTGGACGATAAAACCCAACTTAAAGGGTTCATTCTCTTCAAATATGTTACTTTTAACTGCCACCCACCCCTCCAAGCTGTCCAACCGATCAAACTCTACACTGTCCATGTTAAAAACACAGCTTTCACTTTGGCCCCGGAGGAACTGTTGGCTGTGTTTACAACGTCCGCCATTTGTATGACGTTGCTGCCTTCAAGTGCATCACAAATACTCGGAAATTCTAAAAGCCTATTTCATCTGAGCTGAAAAACAATTAAAGCCAATTAAAACTAACACATTGTCATAATTTTTAATAAAAAATTGTTCACTAAGAGTACAGAAAGCCACAGAGTCCGTCTGATGACATAGGAGAAAAAAGTAATAATTTAATCGTTCTGCCCATAAATGACAAAAGTCGTGCCAATGAGATTATTTAGTCGTGGCCATTATTTTGTATTTATCCATGTGACCAGACGGGTTCCATAAAAACCAGCAAAATTACAGATATTGTGTCATTAATTAGGAGTTAGGTGCAATAAAAATTCTAGCTTAAATGACAGGAAACTTAAATAAACTGTTCTAAGACAAATGTCAATAATATGACAGGATATTACTAACTCAAGATGGAATTAACAGGAACTAAATCATAAATTAGGTCAAAATCAAATCAAAATGTGGTCATTAGGTTCATGTTGAAAAGTTACGAGGTTAAACGAACGCACCACAACACTCCATGTTTTGTATTCAACTTTGACCTTTAAATCAGCTGTTGGGGGATTTCCATCTTAAATTACCGACTCAGATCATCCTGTTGATACCGAAAATAATCCTGTTATATTTTACAATATCAAGAAAACTTTTCTGTTCGCGTAATATAGATCGCATATTCTCTTTAAAAGAAACAAATCTGGCGTAGATATTTGAAATAGTTGTGACATATGAGCAGTGTGAGTTGCATCTATTTTTGTCACAGCCTCAGCTTTCGGGATTGGACCCCCTCACAAAGTTTGCTTGTCGGACACAAAAACAAGCCCGGGTCAGTTATTCAGAGAAGATTATTTTAGTGAATTATTGAGGTAATTCTTTTATTAATTGCTCAATATAACCCCCAGTTTAACTTATTTATAGAAGCAAGTCACTAAAACACAATTGCAGATTTTAAAATTTTTATTTATTTATATTTACACATTTTTATAGACCTACACGCTTATATAATTTAGAAAAGGATGATCTGAATGAATCTATTCTTCAACCTGTGCATGTTGCAGACCCCTCTCCACTGTGCACAGTCAGTGCTCTCAATGGACCTGAATGACATCAGAGGGGGCAGGCTGGCTGTGATCTCAGAAGAGAGCGAGCAGCAGGACTTCAGCAGAGAGTCGAGCACCATGGAGGCATACAATGTTGTTCCAGAGCCTGGAGGAAGGACCTTCCAGAGGTTTTCAGTCAACACCAATGAGTCGCTGCGGTTCGAACCCTGTGAAGACAGCTGTCCGTCCCCTACTGGGGCAGAAGATGGACGTGATGATGTGTTTGAGAAGGGAGAATGTGAGGTGAGGGGCACTAACAGCACAACAGCATGTCATTCTTTAACTCATTCTTATTTATTTTTTTTTTTTTTGGGGGGGGGGGTTTAATTTGCTTTTTACCCCGCTTTTCACAGAAAATTTACA